TACTGGCTGTTCCTGCTGTGGTCGCTGTGTCATTGTGTTCATTAACTGTGTGAAAATCCTTGTCTGCTGTTCCATGAACAGCTGGAATTGTTCCGGATCCATATCGATGAGGAATCTCGTACAATCACCACACGATCGTGAAAATATTCACTCGAATCAAAATGGCCGCCGACGCGACTCGATACGTTCACGCGCGACTTTCTTACAATTCACTCTAGAAAAAGTTCGCAACTTTCCGCGATTTCACTCAATGACGCCGGAAAACACTAGAAGCACACGATTGCTTCTGACACCATGTTATATTCATAATAAAAGACCAGATATTACGGCCAATAACTTCCTTTATTACTCTTCACTTTACAAAAGTCTAAACGATACTGATGGACTCTCCTTTCTCTCTACTGCTCTTCCTCTGCAAGTTCACACATACAAGTGCACAAGAGCTAATCTCTACGAGGGGTGCATCAATATTGCAACACCAACGTCAAAAGTTAAACGCCAAAGTTTGTTTATCTTTCGATATTTAGTTGCGCTATGCGATCCAGGGTTCTTCCAGGCAGTTTTCTCCCGATGGATTGGGAGCAGTTACTCAGATAGTTTGCGATACTGTTTTGCAACATTTCGCATTTCGAACCGAAAAAGATCCCCTTCTTCCGGATGGTTACAGAAGTGCACCATCCAACGATGCAGGGATGTACCAACAATCAATACGAAACTAACGATTTTAAATTGGCTCACTACTTGACTAGCCTATTGGTCCCAAGCAAATCGATTAACGTACCCCATTCTAGTCGAAATTCTAGTACTACGCAATGTTTGTTTTGATTCGCTATGAAAGTTTCACAGATAAAATGAGGGGTTATTGGTTTTTCCTATGTTTCGAGGGGTGAATCGATTAGCTTGGGACCGAAGAGAGTACCAGAGCTGAGCCAAAAAGTTGAGCACGTTATTTCGGGACCTTCTAGTCTTAGAGTTACCTCTATGGATGAACGCTTGAATGAAATTTTTGAAGAGTTGATTCTTTTGCCGAATAAAATCGCTGCTATGGATCGGAAACCAGCTAATCTCCGTTAACTAACAGTTCAGTGGTTTGCTGTCGGTTGTTATTTCGATTGTCATCTATTCGCAAGATCTGAAGAAGGCTGGTATGTTTTTCAACTTTCGACAATGTTTTATGAATTCGAGGGCCCGCTCACTTTACTCTTTTCCGCCAGATGGTCAGTCGTTGATGATGTGCTGGTTCTTCTAAAGAAGTAAATTTTGCTGAAATCGACTTGAATATTTCATCCTACTTTGTCCATCCTTCGAGATTTCCTTGTCATAAATTTGGCTTTTATTAACTATGAGGAACCATCTTTTTAGCTCAATTTGTAAACAGAGGAATTGGAGAGTTTATGATGCACTTTAAAAAGCCTAAAAAGCAACAATAAATGCTTTTTGCTCTAATGCAATGGTTATTATCTAATGGTTTTATCGTTGCTTTTATAATGATAGAACACGTTTATAAAGTATATTATCAAGACATTAATAAACAATTGCTAATGACGTTTATGCTTGAAATACAGAGCAGTTTTAAGGAGGGATTGAGAACTGTTTTAAAGTTATTTTTAAAACAAGACAGTTTTTGACTTTCTTGCCAGACTATAAAAGGTTTTTAAAACAGCAAAAAGCTGAATTACTAAGCAGGAATATTTTACACTTTGAAATGCTGCATTTATACTCAATGGTTTGTTTATTGCCGTTATAAAACCATCATAAATCAGAGTGGATGCCAAATGGTAACTGAATTGTTACAAAGGCTTGGTAGCCATCATAATGAAGTAATGAAATTTAATTTCCCTTATTACAGAGTTGAATAGATTTTTCTCCTTTAGTTTACTTAAATCTTTGGTTTTTATTAGTTAGGTAGGTTCCGATTCAATACATTGTAGTTTCATTTTTATACCTGTGATGTTGACTTTTATACCTAGGGATGAGTACTTAAGGGGGTTAGATTTTGGTAAGTTCTTTAGTGGGAATGACACTGATGAAGACTGCACATTGTAGTCGAAATACGTATCTATCATGGAAACAACATGGGGCCTCCCTTAGCTCAGTCGGTAAAGGCGCAGCTACAAAGCAAGACCATGCTGGAGGTGGCTGGGTTCGATTCCCGGTCCGGTCTAGGAATTTTTCGCACACCGCTTGCCTTCGCTCACACAGCATGTAATTGAGTAATTTTTCTATAGGAAATGTACGCTCAGTCATTCAAAACAATATTGGGTACGATCACGGCAGAATACACGTGTTGACTGAGCTACTGACTGAGTGCTCGGCTGTCAGTGACTCGTTTACCTCTCAATCATTCAGACTCTCACGAGGCAGTGAATGATGAGGCAGATGGCAGTTCATATTCATATCAAAATGACTCAATGAACCTGACTGTTTTGCGCACTGGAAAATACTGAAAAACTCAGCAATACAAAATGTAAACAAATAACATTGCTGACGATTACCACGGGAGTCCCCACAGAGAAACAGACATAACACGTTGAATATTTCTCACTGTAAAACATCGTCGCAAAAACATTACCGCCATCTGTTGAGTACACTGTGATGGGTAGTACGCTGAACAGATGGCGGTAGTGTGTAAACGTCAAACGCAAGGGAATTGACTATGCGCACCACAGGTGGCGGTACTTCCAACTACGATACTTTTAAATTGACCGGTTCGATGAACAACTTGCGAGTGTCTGTTTGTCTGTGGTCGCTATATTCATAGTCTGGCGGATAGAATCTCGGGAACCAATCGAGCAAATCACGAGCAACAACAGAAAAGAGCATATCAGCTATTGCCAACAAAACTTCGGAACCCTTTTTCTCGTGACTCAAGACTCACCTACGCAAATTAATACCACAGACAAACAGACATAACACTCACAATCACATTCACTGCAAATAATGTTTTAGTTGGGAATGTTCTTGCATTTGTCATGGTGGCGCCACTGAAGCATTGAGCAAGCCACCACATTTCGAACTTATCAGTGATGCCAGTTCTTTTTCACGTCTAGTTAGTAGATGTCAGCTCTTGAAATAAGGATACGTTTTGAGCCTGAAATTGAAATTTTAGACAAAAAGTGTATTCTACAAAGTTGTTTCTTATTGTTAGGCCCTCTGAATCAAAATTTAAACTTTTTTGTTTGAAGGAATTAATGTGTACATTATTTGGCAAAGTTATAGTTGAGCTAATTTCAAGCAACTTTGTAAAAAGAACTTTTCTGTATCTCTTAAATTAGATTTTGAGAACTTGAACTAAAAAAGTTATCGGCAAAATATGGTTTTTATAGGACCACTCTAATGGCAAATTTATATAAAATGTGCAAAAATCATTGGAAGACATCTTTGCTGAGAAATTTTAAATATGAAAACTAGAGCAACTGTTTTTTAGAGACACCCTAACTAAATTCAAGAAAATAGCTCTTAATCGATCAATTTAAGGTATACAAAAAAGTTTTTTTTTACAAATTTGCTTGAAATTAGCTCAGCTCTAACTTTGCAGAAAAATGTATACCTTAATTTCTTCAAACCAAAAAGTTAGATTTTTTATTTCAATGATAATAAGAACCATCCTAGAAATCATTGTCATAAAAATGAGGGCCTAACTAAAAGAACAACTTTGCAGAAGAGACTTTTAGTCTAAAGTTTCAATTTCAATCCCTTTTGTATATGTATTTCAATGTATATACGAGTTGATTGTTATGATTATTGTCAATAATACTTAAATTTCGATGATGCTACTTATTTTACCTTTTTTGTGATACTAATCATCACATAATCCAACCTTGAATCGTAGACCATGGTCCATCAACAATACACTCGTTCCGAGAAGGGGCTCACGTCATCTTCTTCTTCTTCAGGTTCGCCCACCACCCGGAATGAAGGCTCGGTGCGGTTAGTAATATCAAACAGTGTTACATGCAAATGAAAAAGAGTTACAACCAGGATTAGTTTTTCAAAGTAATAGTTTCATCTGAATACCCAACTAACCATATCTCAGTGGCATTCTCTCACTCTGAACCTACATTTAAAGTTATTTTGTGGTTATATGGTTACTTTGGTACTCACATGAAATGTTGTACAAGTTCCACAAGTTCAGCAACGCCCAACTATGGACAGCTCAATGTTAATACCATTTACTCTTTGAATCAGCGTACACCAACACCTAAAAACGTATAGAGATAAAGCTAAAAAATACAGTTTTAACTGATGGTACTTTATAAACATCAAACTGTCCAATATTGGACCCTGCAAACACACTGTGCCTGCACGGTAATGTTGGCCGTCAGAATGGTTCATCGGTTGCGAAGTGAAGTGCTTCTCAAACTGCGATACATTTCTCAATTTTTCAACGTTATCCTAACGTAAACTTAATATTATGCCCCATATGCCCGTCCACGACCGAGAACCATCCACCACACAAAATCAAATTAAAATGTTTCTGTATGGCAAACACGTCCAGACATAAACGAGAATACCTATGGGTGGATATCTTCACTTGTAACAACAACGGGTAGTCATCAAAAGTACTTGCATTTTACTCAGGCACTTTTAAACAAACTGCAATCACTCTCTCATACTCGAATTGTACCACGACCAAATTGGCACAACGACGCCCTATACGCTATCTGACCAAAGCGCAGGGTACGGTAGAAAGACATTACTCAAGTTGCTAAACTCAAAATAGAAACCAACATGAATCACCGGCGGAAGAATGGGGTGCTAAGGGATCGAGATAGCGCCTCCCGTGGCGGTGCTCTTAGACGGTAAAAACTACTAGAATGATTACTGAAAACTCAGCAGTTTAAAAACCCAGTAAAATTTTACCGACTTCGGTAATCCAAACTCTGTGTGTAGGCCGAGGTGTAGGCTCTCTGAGCCCTCTCTCTCAAAGCACCCGCTTTGCTCAAACGTTAATATTTCTCCCACTCTATACGCTGTTTACGGTCACTGTCACTGGTCAGTTTTGTATGCAGCTCAGTCAGTTGCACAAAGTTTCTAGCACAAGTCATAGCGAGCGTTATCTCAACTGCGCAGTGCCCTACCAGCTATCTACAAAGCAATTAGTGATATGTCATTCGACTACATCCAAATCGACGATCCCGTCTATAAGGCAACCTGCGAGGAACGTGATCAGCAAGATTATGTTTTGGTCAAACCGAAGGACTGCAGTAAGGTGCCCATTACGCTTCCCAGCTGGGAACCCGAACCGTGCTGTTTGAACACAAGGTTTGGCTATCTTATCATTTTTAATTCATAGCCCATCTACGATAAACAAAACGGTGAATTTGCCAGGTATCAGAAACTGGATCAACGAATAAAAGACATGGAAGTCAAACCGGACGACGTCTGGTTGGTAACGTACCCGAAGAGTGGTACCACTTGGTGCCAGGAAATGATTTGGCTCATTTGCAACGACCTCGACTACGAGAAAGCTGGTTCGGTCAAATTGAGCAATCGGTTCCCTTTCATGGAGTAAGTTTACTACAGTGTACGTCTGATTGATGATCAGTTAAAATAATTCTATTGGTTTGTTAGGATCGGAGGTCTACGTGATCTACCACCTGGGATGGATCCCTTTCAGGAGGTTCTCTCCATGACTTCTCCGAGGTTCATCAAATCTCATCTTCCGGTTTCCTTGCTACCGGATCAAATATGGACCGTAAGGCCCAAGATGGTCTACGTAAGAAGGAATCCAAAATCGGTCGCTGTGTCGTACTACCATCATTCGGTTTCGTTGCACGAGTACAAGGGAACGATGGATCAGTTTTTGCGATCGTTCATGAAGGAGTTGGAATACTACTCACCTTATCATCGACACGTGATTGAGTATCACCATTTGAACTATCCGGACAATTTGCTACATCTATGCTATGAAGACATGAAGCAGGATCTCAAAAGCACACTGAAACGCGTAAGCGCCTTTTTCAATAAATCCTACTCGGACGAGCAGTTGGCCGAATTGGAACAGCATCTATCGTTCGATACAATGAAAAAGAATAGCGCGGTCAATTATCGCGAGTGGGTCGAGTTTTTGCTGAACAAAACGAACCGGGCCGACAAGCTGACCGATCAGAACTACTTGTTTATGCGACGTGGAGAGGCGGACGGGTGGAAGAGGGAGTTGGATCCGGAGTTGCTGCTCAAACTGGAAGAGTGGACCAAGCGCAAGGTGGTGGATCCGGAGCATATGAAGCTGTTTCAATGAGGTTGTGAACGTTTGAATTCTACATGGTATTTTTTATTAATAGTTTTGTAATATGTTCTGGTGTTTGTTAGAGAACACATATTTTTTATTATACATATTTGTAAATATATATATATATGCACAAATCTCCCATCATAGGAAATAATTTCTACCGACCGCTAATCGATCTGAATTTTTGTAAGTGAAGTCTATTGTTAACAACCATCAAATACAAAAAAAATCAGATCACGTGTGATTGACAATCGTGTTCCCAGCAACATCAAATTGAAATCACAATCCATTTAATATTTACTGAGGAATGTTTTGCTTTAAAATTTATGATTTTCACCACTTTTTTGTATCAAATTCCACTGATGGATGGACATCTAATAGAAAATTAGCCCTTATGGTGGAATGATATTTCATTTTCGGAATTAATTTTAGATGCATTTCGGTAAAGACATGATGTTTGCATAACATAATCTAAAATACTAAATACTTGAAAAAATACTAAAGGACTAAAGCGAATGTAAATAAGTGAACCTCCCTAGTCAAGTATCGCGTACCACATGCTTCTAATGGTTTAACATTACAAACAAGTGCTTTGTGTTATAAAGTTATCAATCAATTCATCAAACGTTCCAAAACTCGAATCTTGCTGACGAATTTTGCTTTAGTAAAAGTTGATGTTCTATGATTTTGGTAAATTTTAAAGTGTTCATTGTGTCCAATATCAGAAAAGTTAACATTTTTGATATCCCTTCAAATATTAATCATAAGCTTAAAGATCTTAAAAATGTACTGTTTTTACAGCTTTTTTAATTTTTTAACGTAAAATTAAGTTTTTTTTTCAGTGCGTTTTTGTCTGAAAAGGCAATCCAATACAACTTTGCTATAATTAATTTAAAAATGATGAATACACGCTGTTGAAAAATGAGGCGAGAGTAATAACAACCGGAGGAAAATAAAGATTTTAAATTGGCTCACTACTTGACTAGCCTATTGGTCCCAAGCAAATCGATTAACGTACCCCATTCTAGTCGAAATTCTAGTACTACACTATGATTGTTTTGATTCGCTATGAAAGTTTGACAGGTAAAATGAGGGGTTAGTGGATTTTCCTATGTTTCGAGGGGTGCATCGATTAGCTTGGGACCGTACATCGTACATCAGAACCCGGTTCTGGAAGTAGCGTAAGGCTCCCAGCTGGAGCTGTTGAACGAATTCTTGACGTCGATCGTTATCACGGCGTAATATCGATCTCTTCTCCATTTCTGTTTCGACGCCTTCTCGGCTGTCTCGACAACTGTCCGAATTGCCTCTACTTTTGCTCTTCCTTTTCGAAATCCGAACAGCCTCTCCGAAAATCCTTGCTCCCTCTCCGTGCATTTCGTCTGCCTGTTTAGGATGATCCTATCCAAGAGTTTTCCGAGTATATCCAGCAGGCACTGCTACGAGTTGCTCGTTGGTGATTTCGTCGTTATCTCCCTTTCCGTATCCGTACGATGTAGATGGCCAGGTCGTTGGATCGTGCTTCGAGAAAAATCCTTCCACGATGACTTTCAGGTTCTCAAAGCACATTTCAGCGGGCATGACTTGACATTTGATCTTCGTCATCACGACACGGTGTGCGTCGTTGGCAGCAGCGTCTCGACTCAGCTCCAATTGACAGTTCGACTTCCACTGCTTTATCTTTCGTTTATGTGTTCGGAACATTCCTCTAAGTTCCTCTCTGTCTGCTTCTGTTCTTGTTCTCTGAACACGTCTTCTGGCTCTGAGACAACTAGCGCGGAGGGTTCTAATAGCCTCGTTGCAGCAGTAAGCTGGAGGCCGTCTGTTATTTAGCTCCAGTTTCCTTGGCATGTCGTGTCACATGCTCTCCCTAACGATTCTGTCAACTCGTCTTCCACTTCAGGTCGCAAGTTCTCGTCCTCTGTACTGCCACAGGTTTCCGTTGGCCCATGCCATATCGGATTACCTGATGGTCACTATGGGTATATCCTTAACACACTCTCCAATTCATGTTTTCCACCAGCGACCACTCCACTGCCTAAGCATTGAAGTCTCCTCCGATGACTACCGGTCTTCGTCCGATCAGCTGTTCGGTAAGTCCATCCAGCGTCTCGTGGAACTGCTCCATGGTCCATTGGGTGCGTAGCAACTGCATATGATTATTCCGTTAATTTTGGCGATCACGAAACCTTCTTGTATTGCAGCCATAACTTGTATTGCAGCCATCCCAGCTCTATCCGCCACCTAGTTACCTTTATCGGGAGGGACTCGATACAGCTGTGCAGTGTCGCGATAATTGAGGTTTATTTGAGTTACCTCTGTTATTGTTGCGACAAAAAAATTAAGTGTCATTTGGAGCAAAATGCTTGTGAATTCATGCTTTAAAACCAAAAAGTTCAGCAAAATCTTCAGGCTGACAAAATCGGGGATAGACAAAATCGGGAGCTGACAAAATCGGGAAAGCACTGTAATACATAAATTCGTAAGGCGTAATTGGGTGCCGCAAAGAGTTGTTGCATCTAATACCAGAACATGAAGAGCTGGAGAAGTTTTAAAAGGTAACATTTGCTACCCACTAGGGACCGAGCCAGCTTCTCCTCACTAATTGGTTTAATTTTTCAGGGCACGAAACAACAGAAAGGCATATACCAACCCTAATAATAAATTTCCATACACGAAAGATAACCCAAATGATAGAACTATTCCACTAATGGTTTCGATGATACCCAGAACTCGCCGTTAAGCAAAATAATCTTAGCAATTTTATTAGGGATCTGTACTACGATCGGAAAACACGTCCCCTTGATCGCTGCTGCATAGGATTGTGGAACATGTTGTGCTGCCACTGTATGGGAGATCCATCAACCACCAGAAATGTCAGCGCGATAGCACGACTACAGCCACCGAGCCTAAGGCAGTGTAAACAAGGGAGAAATTTTTTGATATGCTCTTTTATAGGCAACTAAGGGTAACTACAATATCAAATATAGAAGACAGAATCAGACTCCAGATAGCCAGGTCAATAGAAGGTCACGGGACCGAATTTGTGATTTAATGTAGGTTCTGAACCATTTGGCGAATTGTTTAACTTCTGGTTAAAATTTGACAGATGGAAAGTTATCGATTAACCCTGCTATCCGAGCGTGGTTACTTCTGACAGACAAGAAGTTAAATTTTGACATCTGTGGCTGAGTTCTTCTCAAAAACCGGTCGATCGACAGCACAGAGATTTTCGAACATAGAAAATAACTTTGGAAATGTCACTTTTAACCACGAGTTAAATTTAACTCGGCAAATGCAGAGTCAATGTTAAAATAAGAGTCCCGCCAAGAGTGCAGCCAGAAGTACCAAACGAACTGTCACGCGGGGTACCAAACGAGCAAAGTAAATAAACACTACAATTATTGCATTCGTTATTGACAATATTATAGTAATTTTAGATGAAAAACATTTCTTCGCTTTACTTAGTTCATTATGGTATTTATAAGTTATACCAAGCACTTGTTTGAACATTTTTCAGCTTCTATAATTGTTTTTGTCTACCAGGAGCTCCGTTATCGACATGTAATTTTTCACTTCTGAATGAAAGTCATCCGATGCTAACGCAAAATATCTGGTTGCCGTTTACTCTGACGAAAAATAAATCACAAACAGTGCTGCTTGTTCGCAACATTTTCTCTTGGCGGGACTCTTATTATAACATTGACTCTGGGCAAATGGTTCACAGCCTTAATAAGTTTTAAAATAAATGTTAGATGTGTAGTGTAGTGTCTTAAATAAATTGTTTTCAATGTTAAATTAACTGGATAATTTTTGTACAGAATGAATTGTGATTAGTGTCGTAAAAGGAAACAGGAAGAAATCCCAAGGAATCGGTTCTCCCAGACCGTATATCCAATTTCCAAAATTTCACCCAAGGAGGAAGAACCAGCCCCCAGGTACAACATCAACCTAGCCAATCAAGATCCTGATTGACGTTAAAACGCTGTACAGACTGGAGAGTTGTAACATGTTATAACGGTTGTCAAATAATTGCAACACAAAAACCATCATCAGGATAGCGCTATAACATGTTATAACTCTGTAGTCTGAACCTAGTATAATGTGGAACAGTCAAAACAGGTAGAGCTCGATCTACAACGAATGATGAAACGGCCGCGGGACAAAGAGCGGCTTCGTGCCAACCAGGACCGGTACGCTTTGGCACAGGTATCCCGTCCCGAATTGGAGACGAGGGACTCTTTCGGGTTGGTTAGAATTGCAACATGATGAAATCCCAACAAACATTGGAATCAGAATAAGAGCTTATTCGGGCAAAAATATGCTTCTTCAGCTATATAATGGCTTAAAGGGTGATACGGTCAAAATTTGGTCAATATCAACTTGACGTATTTCTTTCAATTTTGCATTTAAAAAACCTGAACACCCCTCATTTTGAAGGTGTGTGTGTGTAGAATGTTGCTCCTATTTTGATTTTGGAATTCACTCTTCAGTTGTCAAAATGCCGTCCAAGCAAGAAGAGCAGCGTATCAAAATTTTGCTCGCGCATCGCGAAAATCCGAGCTACTCGCACGCAAAGTTGGCAAAATCGCTAAAAGTTGCCAAATCAACCGTTACAAATGTAATTAAAGTGTTTGGGGAACGTTTGTCGACAGCCAGGAAGTCTGGATCGGGGGGAAATCGAAAACCGGAAGCCGCTGAGACGACAAAGAGAGTTGCCGGTAGTTTCAAGCGAAACCCTAACCTCTCTCTCCGAGATGCCGCAAATAAGCAGGGTGTATCGTCTACAACCGTGCATCGAGCCAAAAAACGAGCCGGACTATCGACTTACAAGAAGGTAGTGACTCCAAATCGCGATGATAAACAAAATACGACGGCCAAAGCGCGATCCCGGAGGCTGTACACGACGATGCTGACGAAGTTTGACTGCGTGGTAATGGACGACGAAACCTACGTCAAAGCCGACTACAAGCAGCTTCCGGGACAGGAGTTTTATGCGGCAAAAGGAAGGGGAAAGGTAGCAGATGTTTTCAAGCACATGAAACTGTCAAAGTTCGCAAAGAAATATCTGGTTTGGCAAGCCATCTGTACCTGTGGCTTGAAAAGCAGCATTTTCATAGCTTCCGGGACTGTCAACCAAGAAATTTACGTGAAAGAGTGTTTGAATAAACGTCTGCTGCCTTTCCTGAAGAAACACGGTTGTTCCGTACTGTCTTGGCCGGATTTGGCATCTTGCCATTACGGTAAAAAGGCCATGGAGTGGTACGCCGCCAACAACGTGCAGGTGGTTCCCAAGGACAAGAACCCTCCCAACACGCCAGAGCTCCGCCCAATTGAGAAATACTGGGCTATTGTCAAGCGGAACCTAAAGAAGACCAAAAAAACTGCTAAGGGCGAGCAGCAGTTCAAGGCAAACTGGCTTTCTGCGGCGAAGAAGGTGGACAAGGTGGCTGTACAAAATCTGATGGCAGGGGTCAAGCGTAAGGCCCGGCAATTCGGATTTGGAAAAGCGGAAGCCTAACTGAATATTTTTCCTGAATTTTATACTAATTGAACTTGAAAAAGAAATTTAATTTGATTTTTTAAATAAACGATTTCACCGATTTACACGCGTTTTCCCTTGACCAAATTTTGACCGTATCACCCTTTATTCAGCCTTTAACCAGCTCAAATTGTTTGTTGGGATTGTAGATCCATTTCTTAGAGCTATCGAAAAGCATGTAGCATATAGGAGTAATGTTGTTCTGAAGTGTAATTGTTCATTATTCAAGGAAAATAAAGCGTTTTTGTAAATCTGTTTCAACCATGTTGTAAACTTTTTAGCTGTAAACATCATATAAATTATATAAATTTCGTTCAGTCTTAAACCTAAATATTCTCATTAAAATGCAAGGATTAAAAAATCAGGATGACACGCATATGAAACAGATTGGATAAGGTGTTACAAATAGCAAAAGATTATCATCCGAATGTCGAATGATTAGTTCTATAGGGCTCCGTCGAATTGATAATCATATAGTATTTGGCAGAGGTTTTCATTCAGTGTGCCAACCAAATATCATTGGAACAGCTTCAGATGCTCTGGATCCACCACAATTCGCTTGGTCCACTCTTCCAGCTCGTGCAGCATCTCCGGATCCAACTCCCTCTTCCACCCGTCCGCCTCTCCGCGCCTTATAAACATATAATTTTGATCTCTCAGCTTATCGGCACGATTCGTTTGGCTCAACACAAACTCGAGCCACTCGCTGTAGTTGACGGCCTTGTTGTGTTTCATGCTTTCGAAAGATAGATGCTGTGCCAACTTGGCCAACTGCTCATCCGAGTAGGATTTATGGAAGAAGACGCTTACACGTCTCAGTGTACTTTTGAGTTCCTGCTTCATGTCTTCGTAGCGCAGATGTAGCAAATTGTCCTGGTAGTCCAAATGGTGATACTCAATCACGTGTCGATGATAAGGTGAGTAGTATTCCAACTCCTTCATGAACGATCGCAAAAACTGATCCATCGTTCCCTTGTACTCGTGCAACGAAACCGAATGATGGTAGTACGACACAGCGACCGATTTTGGATTCCTCCTGACGTAGACCATCTTGGGCCTTACCGTCCATATTTGATCCGGCAGCAAGGCAACCGGTAGGTGGGATTTGATGAACCGCGGTGAAGACATAGAGAGAATCTCCTGAAATGGATCAAATCCCGGGGGTAAATCCAGTAGACCTCCTAACCTGTTAAATAACATTTAGCAATGAGACGAACGTGATCATATAGTATGTTAAAGATGTGTGAGAATCTTACTCCATGAAGGGGAACCGGTTGTACAACTTGATTGAACCCGCTGTCTCGTAGTCGAGGTCGTTGCAAATGAGCCAAATCATTTCCTGGCACCAAGTGGTGCCACTCTTCGGGTACGTTACCACCCAGACGTCGTCCGGTTTGACTTCCATGTATTTTATTCGTTGATCAACCTCTCGATACCTGCAAGATTTGATTCGATTACACTGCATCATCACGATATAAAAAGTGACAGACCTTTTATTCAAACAGCATGGCTCGGGTTCCCAGTTGGGAAGCGTAACGGGGATCTTACGGTAGTCCTTTGGTTTGACCAGTACATAATTTTGCTGTTGACGTTCTTCACAGGTTGCCTTATAGATGGAATCGTCAATGTCGATGTACTCGTATGCCATGTCCAGTGTCACTAGTTCTTTGAATGCTGTGCGACTAACTGATTTGACCATCACACTGCGCAAGTGAATTTATGTCTAGAGTGATTCTTCAGAACGTACAATCAGCCATTAGTAGGAATTACGACGGTGTAAATCGAATTAACGTGATACTCTGTGTTGGAGAGAGAGCGAATCCATGAAACACGGTGTTTACACAGTTGACAGTTTCAAGAATCATTCGAGATTTGTTGTTTTGGAAATCGAAAACAAAATACGCATGTAAACTGTTGTGTTGCTCTATTAGTAGTTTATTTGGAATTGAGCGTCAAACAGCATGATAAGTAAAATACGAAGCAGAGAGAGAATGAAAAAACTGATTGTAATCTCGGCCAAATTGTCAATTGAGTTAATGGTCATGTAAATCATTCCACACACGTTCAGAAGCATTCAGGTACAGAGTACACATTCGATTTTGGCAACAAGTCCGAAAATTTAGTGTTGCCAAAATCGAACCGTGTCAAAATCTAACGGGTTTACTTTGAAATTTGATGTATGAATTGGACCACCGTGAGTTATCTTTATGACATAGACGTTATTAACCCTTTGTCTGTACCTTGACAGTGGTCCATATGGTTATAAACGTGATCGCGTGGAATAACTCCAAAACCGTTCATTGTAGGTATATAGTGTCTTCGAAGAAGTTTCTAGGCGTGCAAAGCCTTTTGATGGTACCCTTTAGAATTAATGCCCTTAAAAGTGAGACACAAACTGAACTTACATACCTAAAATTAAAGGTTTTGGAGTAATTCCACGCGATCACGTTTTTCACCATTTGGACCACTGTGCCTTGGGGTCAATTTGACTGGCTGTAACTTTTTTATTTTTCGATGGATTTAACTAATTCCACCGGAGCTCTATAATATTAGGAGAAATCTGCTCCAAAAACAGTGAAAACATATTTATTTGGAAATTTTTATTGAAATACTTCCGTTGACTGTACGCTGGGGTCAATTTGACCCCAAATTCAAATTGCTATATCTTAACGAAATTTCAATGGATTTATGAAATTTCAAATGATTTGCAAATTGAATTTATTGGAATTTCTACTTTTTTTCGCAAGTTCACTTTGTGCTACTCTCCACCGTCACAAGTTTTTTTTTTCCTGCGCTCTGTACATTGGATTTTTTCCCCGAACGGGGTTTTTTTGATCCACTCTCCTGCTAGTGACTAAAGCAAAAAGTGCCACTAGCGGACCAAGACGCTCTACTCTGGAAGCAGCGGCCTCGGCGAGACCGGAGGTTCGCCCGTCCAACTTTAACGCCATCAACCGAGTCATCCCATCATCCGATCGCACCATCACATTTGCAAGGTCATCAGCCGTACCTACAACACAACAACAGATTCGGGCTATCCAAGCGGGCCTTTTGTTAGCCAGCACGTGTTTTTGCCTGCATCTATAGAATACCCACTGCTTCATCGCATAGTGGATTTCTTCTCCGTTGGGAAGACGCGCCATCCCGGTATAGAGAGATAAGTAATTTTTTTTTTTTTTCATCAGAAGTTTTTTTTTTTTTTTTTTCTCTGTTTGGTTTGTTTTTCGATTTTTAAGATCTGATTAATTCCCCTATAGCGTTGCTTACCCTTTCTTGCTTATTATTTAATTTATATACATTAGTTTCCCTTGTTTTTATTTGTTTTTTTTTTGTTTTTGTTATTATTTTTTTTTGCTGAGCAATTTACCTAGAGTGCGGTAGATTCTATCCCATATACTTCTTTTTTTTCTTTTTTCATTTTTAATTATTGATTGATTTCAAATTTGTGGCAAGGAAAATATTTGAATTATTAACATCAAAGTTTTCTATACATTCCATTGCGGTGATACCTTAAGGCACCGCAATGGATGACAAAAATAAAGGCGGGGGATTGTCGCTTGACATCTCAGATGATGAGTCAATTAAGTCTCCTTCATTTGAAAAGCTCGATTCTTCTGAGGAAATGGATATCCTTGAAGAATCACTTGATTTGCTCACCAACAAAAACACTGGAGCCTACCCTAAAGGGAGTGTCAAACCACTGCCTCCTTCTCCTCCTACTCCCCCTTCTCCACCATCTCCACCTCGTCTACCTGTTCCCTCTACTCCACCCGTTCCCCCAAAAACTTCTGTGACCCCCCGCCACAAGGCATACCCTGATGACTCGAAAGGTCCGTGGGTTGTATTTTTCCGGCCCAAACAAAAACCTTTGAATATTACTCGGATTTCAAAAGATCTGACAACACATTTCTCGGCCGTTACCGACATTTTTAAGGTGACGCCAAACAAACTGCGAGTTACCGTTGACGACCGGAAGCAGGCCAACCAGATCGTTGCATGCGAGCGTTTTTCGATAGAATATCGAGTCTACGTCCCCAGTTGTGATGTAGAAATTGAAGGAGTGGTCACCGAAGCGAGTCTAACTTGCGAAGATTTCTTGCACGCTGAATCCTTCGGCATCTTCAAAAATCGTTGCCTCCCAAGAGTCAAGATACTGGACTGCATTCAACTGCAGTCAGTGTCGCTCATAGGCACGAAAAAAAGGTATACCTTATCAGACTCGTTTCGTGTGACCTTTTCAGGATCGGCATTACCTGACTACGTCACAATTGGGAAGGTTCGACTACCTGTACGCTTGTTTGTACCGAGGGTAATGAATTGCTTAAAATGCAAGCAACTAGGTCACACCGCAGACTATTGCTCAAACAAACCGCGCTGCGATCAATGTGGGGAGGAGCATACGGAAGGTCCTTGTGGTGCTGCCCCAAAATGTGTTTACTGCAAGGATACTCCGCATGCTCTGAGTGATTGCCCGAAGTACAAACAGCAGGGAGAAAAACTTAAGCGGTCATTGGAAGCTCGCTCTAAGCGTTCACTAGCAGAAATTTTGAAAATGACCGCTTCATCTTCCCAAACTACCCAAAAAAGCAACAACACATTCCACCTCCTGCCAGATGATGATCAGGGCTCTGATTCAGAGGTTGGTGAGCATCGTCCCTTTGTCTTTAACGGCAACCCGAGGAAGCGATGCAAAACAAACGTCATCCAAAAACCTCGTAAGGCCTCTCGTTTGGACTCTCAACCAACCTTGACAAATTTAAGAGGTAGCGGAAATGTACCAAAACCCCCACCACCGGGATTTAAACCTTGTAATTTTAACAAGGACTTTCCACCACTTCCGGGATCCAAAACCCCAGATATCCCATTTTTTCAGCCAGAAGAACAGCTGAAAAATCAGCAAGAACATGCTCCCATGTTCACGTTTTCTGGAATTGTGGAGAGCATCTTCAATATATTCAATGTCTCTGACTCAACGAGGAACATTATTAATTTAGTGCTTCCAATTGTGAAAACTCTTTTGAAGCAACTAGCTTCTAGGTGGTCCTTCCTTGCGTCGATCATATCCTTTGATGGATAATTTTCCGAATGAGGTCGGGGATATGATCTCTGTTCTTCAGTGGAACTGTAGAAGTCTTATACCGAAACTTGACACATTCAAATTTTTACTTCACAACTCACTTTGTGATGCATTTGCTCTTTGTGAAACATGGCTTTCCTCAGACACCGATCTCCGTTTCCACGATTTTAACATTATTCGCCTTGATCGAGCAGATTCGTATGGAGGGGTGCTTCTCGGGATTAATAAGCTCCATTCCTTTTATAGAATCGATCTGCCTTCCGTGACAGGCATTGAAGTAGTTGCATGTCAGGTAAATGTTCGAGGTAAAAGTCTCAGTATTGCCTCAGTATATCTTCCTCCGAGAACTGCGATTTCTCGCCAAGGTTTCTCAGATATCTGCTCAGTTTTACCTGAGCCTCGGTTGATATTAGGAGATTTTAACTCCCACGGTACAGGCTGGGGGGAACTGTACGATGACAACCGCTCAACGTTGATATACGACCTTTGCGATAGCTTCAATATGACAATTCTAAACACTGGGGAAGTAACACGAGTAGCCAAACCTCCAGCAAGAGAAAGTAGATTAGACCTCTCCCTCTGTTCGAGTTCACTATCGTTGGATTGCTCGTGGAAAGTAATCCAAGATCCCTACGGTAGTGACCACTTGCCAATCAAAATTTATATTACCAATGGTTCATCTTCTACTCGCTCGGTTGACATCGCGTACGATCTTACGAAAAACATTGACTGGCAAAAATTTGCGTCCGCGGTTATTGAAGCCAGTCAATCGGTTAAAACACTTCCTCCACTGGATGAGTACTCCTTTCTCGCGCGTCTAATCATCGATTGTGCGCTGCAAGCACAGACGAAACGTGTTACGGGTGTTTCCGTTTGCAAGTGACCTCCCACTCCGTGGTGGGATAAGGATTGCACCGACGCGAACAGCGAGAAGTCCGCCGCGTTTCCCGAATAGAAATTTACATTAGCCCAACGTTTGATTTTGATGTCTACATCAGCATCAAAATCAAATGTATGCCTGATGTCAAACATTAGGAAACATTATGATTTAGATGTATTTAAGCAACGTAACATGATGTATACATCAGAAATTTTGGAACAAAATTTTGCCATTCTAATGTCGGTCTGACGTCAAAAATTTCAATCTATTGACATTAGAACCAAACGTTTTAAGGATGTTTTCAGATGTACAAAACGTTAGAACTAAACGTTGTTCGGATGTTTTTAAATGTAAACGTTTTCTGATGTTTTCTAATGTAGATGTTTCCTGATGTTAGAAACAAACGTTTTTGGATGTTTTCAGATGTAAAAAACGTTAGAACTAAACGTTTTTCGGATGTTTTTATATGTAAACGTTTTCTGATGTTTTCTAATGTAAAGGTTTCCTGATGTTAGAATCAAACGTTTTTGGGTTGTTTTCGGATGTAAAAAACGTTAGAACTAAACGTTGTTCGAATGTTTTTATATGTAAATGTATTCTGATGTTTTCTAACGTAGATGCCTCCCGATGCTGGAACCAAACTTTTTTTTGGATGTTTTCGGATGTACACAACGTTAGAACTAAACGTTGTTCGGATGTTTTTAATTGTACTTCGTGTTTGTTGTTCTCTGATGTTTTCAGATGTA